CAACATCTCGCCTGCTGTGCGTACGGGTACTGCGGGCTGGCCTACCCCGAGTCTCGCAGGCGCGAAGCTCCCGGACTAAGGCGAACGAGTCTGAGGAAAACGGACGTTCTTTCTGCAAGATCCCCACGGGGGCGCGCACCAAATGCAATGCCCCTTTGGCGGCTCTTGTGCTGCTTTACTTCCGGCTGGTGCCGATGTACCACACTACCACACCTAGAGGGCCGCCGCCGCACGAGGGGGCACGACAAGGTTGCAATAACAACATTCTGAAATTTTGGCTTAGATTTAGTGTCCATTACTTATAGTGACTTGTTACTTGACATTTTCGCGAGTCATTTGCACTAGGGGGCCCTGTCTGCGCCAAGGGTCAAGGCAAAGATTGACTTCGCTTACTTGGAAATTGCTTCCTTGCCAAACTACTGCTTGTCAATAGAGTTTTACAATAATATGGAGGAGCTTGGTAGGTTTGATAAGTTGGTTTTCTATTACATTGCCCTGCATAGCATTTCATTTTCAGAGATTGTATTATTTTTAAAGTACCTGAATGGTTTAGATCCTTGTAATGTACTGGTTCATATTCTTTTGTTTCGTGTTTGTAAAGATCCAGAACTCCATATTTGAAGAGTGGATCATAAGAAGTGCATGTTGGACTGGATTCCACAGGTTTGAAGACTGGTTTGAGAAAAATAAACAGTGTCATGCAAAATTATGTTTATTAATTTAATAATAATGCATTGTAAATAACTTAGTTCTTCTAACTAATGTAAACTGAAAATTAAAACAAATCAACAGCACCAAAATTCACTTACTAAGTCTTTGTATCCCAATTCTGCATAATATTTTTTGCAACATAGCAAACCCAATGTAAAGAAAACAGTGTCATTTTTCCCGTGTTTTCAAACTAGGTATCTCTCAGTAAAAGTAGGGTGTATGCATAGACTTGGACAATCCTCCAGAAGCTAAGGTACTCAATCACAGATAACTCCAATGGAAGCTCTTTGTAGAACCAAATGAGGTAGGTAGTATGAACAGGGATGCTCCAAATGACTCTCACATCATAATAATAATAATAAAATGTAAAGGTGCAAACAGAAAAATCAAACAAAACTAACTAAATTAGTGACACAGATCAACACAATCAACACAATTTGATAATTAAATCATTGAAATAAAAACATAAACTTGACAGTCTCATTCAAAACAACAACATAAACTGACAAAGAGAATGTGTATATGAGAGATGCAGCCAGGATGTTCACACTTACAAACACATCACATGATATTGCATTGGTCAGCTCCACTGTCTTTCAGCATAGCATCAATTTTAGTATCATCAATGGCATTTCCAAGTTGTGCAGCAAGGTCCGGGGGAGGTTGCCCAAGATCTTGTGCCTGAAAGAAGAGAAAATTATATTCAAAGTACTTTCGTATTTACAAAATACAGAAATGAGTAACACAATTGTTATAGAACTTACCTTTCCCATTAACTTCACCATGGTGTCCAAATGCTGTTTATCATCTTCTGATCCTTCTTTCTCAAGCTCTGCTACAATTTCTCGAGTAACTTCCAACTGTTCAGTGTAGCGCTTAAAATCTTCTTCACTTATTTTTGACTTATTCTCTTCAAGCCAGGCTGGGTACTGAAACATTAAGTGAAGTTGTTAGCCAATTTAACTACCTGTGCTTAAATTTTAAAACCAGCAAAAAGACATCTCATCACATCATCAGTATTTTTAATATACCACTAGAAACCTCAAATTATTGCATTCTTGTTAGCAGGAATTGTCTTAGGTTAACCTGGGTTTAGTATGTACGATACTTAACATAAAGGTGTTAAACAAATGTCAGACAAAATTTGTTGGTGGAGAAACAATTTTTCATGTTTAGATATGTTAATTTTTGAAAAAGAAGAGAAAGAAACACAGGCAACTGCATACCTTTTCTGACAATTCTTTAAAAGAGGGAAGCATCATTTCTTTTGACAGAAGAGATTTCATGACATTACGCATGACTGATGAGAATTCTTTTAGCTCTGCATCACATTCTTGAAGAGACAGCTATAGAACAGCAAGATACGTGTTAATGCTATTTGGGACCCTTATACTTACTTTTTCTGACAATTCTTTGAAGGGGGGAAGTAAAAGTTCCTTTGAGAGTAAAGATAGCATCATTTGCTGCATAAAAGTGGTTAAATTCTCCATCTCGTTTCCAGATGCATCTTGGCCATCACCTTCTTCCCCTTCCTTCTGTCACAAATTTAACATTGACTTACTACATCACATAAAGAAAAAAAATATTCAGGAATGCTAAAGCCAAAAAAACAGTTAAGAGAAAAATGTGCTTTATAGTCATTTCAATTAACAAACTTGGCTTCACAAATTTATTCTGTTAGTATAGTTAGTATTTTCTTACCGCTGCTGGGAAAGCTTCACTTAGATTGGCTTTCAAACTCTGCATAGCCCCCATGATAGCCTCAGAAAAATCCTTATCAACATCCGCTCCAGACGCTGCAGCAGCACCAGGGGCAATTGCTGATTCAACTAACATATTTAAGCTCTTAAGACGATCATTCAGCTCATCAGTAGATAGGCCACTTTCAGCAGCAGCTGCGAAAACAATACAAGCAAACAGATGCTTCAAGGTCATATTAATTAGGGTCCTATTCACTGAAGGGGAACAGATCTAACCTGCCGCAAAACCTTCTTGTAACTTTAAGCCAAGTTCCTTGCCTAAATCAGAATTGGCAAATTCTTCATCAGCTTTCTTAGATTCTGAATCAATGGCTTTTCTCTGGTCTTCTTGCCATGCCTTCCACTTCTCAGCATTGAAAGATCCATCAGGATTCAGCATCATACTTGGATCAAAGTTTGCAGGAGCTGGTGTTGATTCTGGTTTGGCTTTGGCAAAATCAGCTGCTGCCGCTGTTAATGAAAGTTATGATGTTAAGTCCAATCAAATTCAGCGAGAAGAACATTTTGCACAGTCACTTCACTTACAAGCCAGCAGCTCATCTAATTCAGGGTCAGGTTTCTCAGCCATAATTGAAGAGAAAACAGAACTAGAGAATGAAACAATGGGGACACAGCCTGAAACAGAAACATTTAAGTCATTCACTACTACCATGACGATCGTTAATTCAAAGGAAATATGATATCAGATTCTGAAATGAGCAATCACTCGAGTAACTAACTAGCGGAACCGACAAAAGCGAAAAATAGTTCCTCATTCCTAAATAATTAAGTTGATCAAAGACCAAAAAGAGAACTGAAAGATTGAATAAAAGTGAGAAAGTAAAGGTGGGATTGCGGCATCAACTAATTAAGCACATCATGGTGAGAGGAATAGGAAAGTTGGCCTAGCTCTCACCTTAGTTGTCACTACATCCGAATAGTACACAGAAAAACTAACAAGATTAATATCAAACCAGTAAGCAACAACAAGAAAAGAGTATTTGAATGTGCAGACCGGAAAACGTTCAGTTTTGATTCAGGGGGGAAAGGGAGGAAGTAGGAGAGGGGCAGGGGAGGTCATAGGCGGGTGCAATGTGCAATGATATTGCAAAGTTCGAAGGTGCGTTGAAGAATGATAGAACGGGCTAAACGAAGCGTGTGTAAGAAAGAGCTAAAAGTATATTTTA